TTTTCCTATTCTATCGCTACAACTATGGGAGAGGTATAGGGACTCTGGGACTTCATGGCACCATTGAAGAAGATCAGGGTCCTGTAGTCCCCTATCCTTCATAAGGCAACTTTCAGACACAGTTACCCCCCAAATATGGAATTCTGCGTGCCTACATCCCAAAGTGAAAACAAACCAATTCTCAAGCCAAACTTCCTTTTCAGATGATCTTCATATTCCTCAGACATTCAAGAGATTCCGAAGTCAAACTTCTCTGCCCCTCCTTGAGTTGGAAGCTTGGCTCACTACTTCGATTCTTATCTGCATATGTATCATAGATTGTCTGGGTGTTCAGATGCTAAACTCCAGCTTGGTATCTGTGATACTCTGCCAGTGTTTTGAATAAACTGAACTTGGTTCTAATCAGCCCTGAGACTCCAGAAATTTTATCTGGTTCTGGACATAACCAGGTCATTTTGATATTTGAGGAGTTGCCTACAAAACTCCACGTTCACTACAGCATAACCAAAATGTAGGGAGATGTTGTAGACTAGTGTGTACTAGTGGAAATAAATACCCTAAAGTTATTTGAATTCTGTGCCATAGCTATTTTAAGCATTAGGGATACAAAGAAAGGCAAAAAATAGTCTCTGCTCTCAAGGAGGTCACAATCTAATGGAGAAAGATGTGCAAATATGTTTTGAATATATATATATTATATATATGTATATACACACACACATATATTTACATGTGTCATATACGTATACATATGTATATGTATATACATGTGTATATAGATCAACATTAAGGAGAACCAAAAAAAGTTTCTCACAAAAGGTTGAATTTTAACTAAGTCCTTAAGGAAGCCAGGAGGTGGAGACTAGGAGGAAGAGAATTATAGTCACTGGGGACATGAATGGAATTAAGATATGGAAAGTCTTGTACAAGGAACAAGGAGACCAGAGTCACTAGATCATAGAGTACATAGAATAAGGTGTAAGAAAACTAGAAAGATCAGAAGGGGCCAGGTTATTAAGGGCCTCAAAAGCCAAATGGAGGATTTTCATCTTTGATCCCAGTGGTGATAAGCACTCCTTGTCCATTCCCAAACCACCTCAACTTCTTATTACAACTACTTATTACTCTCATACTGGAACCTTAGACTCTGACCTTAAAACCATCCTTGGCTCTGATAGACGAGTTCTCACCAAAACCTGGCATCCATGGTCATTTACAAACCATAGAGTGTATGAATACTACTCCTATCTCCATTTTCTAGCTCCTCTTTATGTGTTGTTTTCCCTCAATAAATTGTCCTTCAAGGCAGGATCTGTCTCAATTTCTGGAAATTGTATCCCCAGTGTTTAACAAGGTTCCTAGCATATAGTTAGAACACAACAAATGCTTCATAATTTATATGTACTTTATTCATTTATATATGCACAGCTTCCCCAAAGCAGAGAACAAAAGCATCTTGCCATGTGAGACACTTGGGCTAAATATAACAAGATGAAATTCAGTGGGGATAAATGTAAAGTCTTGCACTTAGATACAAAAAAAAAAACCCTCCACAAATATAAGATGGGCAGGTAACAGTTCTATAAATTCAATATTCATCATCAGTGTGATGTGTGGGCCTATTTCTCCTTCAGGTTGTCTCAATGCTTCAGCTAGGCCAGCTTGCTTAGCTCCATGGGTGGCAGTTGGCTGACCCCTTCTCCACAGGAGTTGCTTCCCTGAATGAGGGCTGAGAGGCTGGGCTGTCCTCCATAAAATGACTAGAGTATACTTTTCTTGGGATCCACTGTCTGGCATAGCAGGCTACTCACCACTGTCAGCTCTCTATCATTACTACAAGTTCTTCTAGGAAAGACTGATGGGACAAGGACAAAATTCTTTGGGATTTAGGATGTTGTTGTTATTGTTCAGTTGTTTTTCAGTCATGTCCAACTCTTTATGACCCCATTTGGAGTTTTCTTGACAAAGATACTGGAGTGGTTTGCCTTTTCCTAGATCATTTTACAGATGAGAAAACTGAGTCAAACAAGGTTACGAACTTACCCAAGGTCACAAACTATTGTCTGAGGCCAGATTTGAACTCAGGGAGATGAGTTTTTCTGACTCCAAGTCCCGCTTTTTCTGATGACTGTCCATGACTTTTAGATTCTAGCAAACCAGTGGTGAACTCCCCTCTTAAAGATACCTAACATGTATGTGACCATCCCATCAAGAGTGAGTGTAAAACACATGGTGGCCTATTTCACATCCCTCTATCATCCTTGGCATAGAAGCCAGCTTCCTGGGCCCTTGGTCTCAAGCTCCTTTCTCCTCCTGGGAAAAGGGATCTTGTCCATTGGTCTCTTTTTCAGCAGGCTCAGTCCAAAGTTGTTCAGTAGGATCTAGTTGATCTCAGATCAGCTTTTCTTTTGTTTTTGTGAATCCTATCCAGGAGAGGTTTTGAAGGCACACAGGCAAGTCACAGTTATATCTATGGCCATGCTTTATCATTTGTCCCATATGATTGTCTTCATTGCAACCACATCAATATTCTATAAGTTTTCTATCACTCCTACCTTCATGTGGTTTGAGTGAAGGTAGAGTACAAAGAAGGATGAAGCATCACAAGGCAACACAGGACAAGATGGGAGTAAGCAGTGAGAAAATCATTCAGATTATTCTTACTGAGATATGAAATGGTGATTTAAAAAATTCTTCTCCCTGTCTAAGCTCTTCTTTCACCATTCCCATCCCTCAAACCCAAATCCACCAAAATCTATCTCAGTTTGTAATATTTTTAGTTAACTGTGGTCTTGTGTACTCTATTTTTAGTTTACTCATCATGGTTATTCAAATAATAATTGGCTGTTAGAGCTTTTAGGATGCAGGGACAATGCCTTTTAATTTTATGTATACCTACCCTTTGCTGCACTGTGTACTCGTAGATACTAAATGATACCAAAAAATACTGATAAGAAACTAAAGGATACAGGACATAAGCAGATACACACAAAGTGAAAATAATAGTTAATAAGTATGTATGTGAGCATGGTGCTATTTAGGTGACACAGAAATTAGGTGTTATGATTAAAGAAAAAGAATAGACATAACTCCTGGCCTCAAGGAGATTGCAGTCTATGATGGATCACACTTTGGATACAAAGAAAAAAAGAAGAAAATAGGCAATTTTGTATTTTAAAAAATTTTTTGGCTGTCTTCCATAGCTTCATTGATATATATTGTATGTTTAGAGTCGTTGGAATTAGGGAACCACGTGAAAGGAGAAAAAAGTCAACAGAAGAAAGACAGAGGAGAGAATTTAGGGAACAGAGAAATAAAACATTAGGAACAATTAATGACAAGGGAAGAAGTGAGGAAAAATAATTTATTTGTTGGAACAATTTCCATAAATGATCCTTCAGAATCATGTTAGAGCTGAAGGTATCTTAGAGATTATCCAACCTTCTCAATTTACAGACGAAGAAAATAAGGTCCAGAAAAGTGAAGAGATTTTTTTTCCATGACCATGCCCTTAAGGTAAATCCAGGACAATAATAATGACAAGAATCATAAAAGCTAACATTTATATAGTGCCTACCATATGCCAGGCAGTATGCTAAGCATTTCACTAATATTGTCTCATTTGATCCTCACAACAACCCTGGGAGGTAGGTGCTATTATTATCCCCATTTTACACATGAGGAAACTGAGGCAGGCAGAGGTTAAATGACTTGCCCAGGGTCACATAAATAGTGTCTGAGTCTGGATTTGAACTTAAGTCTTCCTGACTTCAGGCCCAGCACTCTATCTATTATGTCACTGAGGTTTCCTATATTCTACTCCATTGCTCTGTGTAAAGGGCATACCAGCTAGGTCTATTAAAATGTCTTTTCCCCTTATGTAGATATTACCTGATAATAAATCCCATATGCTCAGGTATCTGAGCAGCCATCTAAAGTCTGAGAGAGGTTGAGAAGAAGTGGAAAGAGGAGGCCTAACAAAGATATGGACGGTCCCCTCATGCTGTAAAGCCTTTTTAAAAGCCAAATGCTTGATGAGAAACAGTAGGGAAAATAATCTCCATCCTACGCTGCTAAAACTTCCATTAGTTTAGTCCCAAAGAAGTAACTAAAACCTTCATATTAACCAAGTTTTTGGTTAATTGCTGGATACCTGAAGCCCTTCTGTGGGGAAATGGCACATTCTGTGGAAAAGAAAGAAGAGTGAATCAAGGTAGATTTGCTGCTATAGTTGAGCCCTTTTTCCTTAAACTCACTTTTATGTAATCTTTTCCTTTTAAGTAATTTTCTGTGATTTCTTTGAAAGCACTTATTCTAAAGATATGAATAAAATAACCTTTCAACTACCTATGCAGATGGAACATGGGTAACATGAATAAATTAAGTCCACAGATGCTTTCTAACCTCATTTTTTCCAATAATTTCAAATCCCCCACCACAAATCAGAACTGTTAGCAATTAGCCAAATTGATTTATCTGAATTTTAATTTTATTTCTTTATCCTCTGATGGAATTAGAGAAATGCCTAAGGAAAAGAAGGAAGAATAGGCTGGAAAATTCACAAACTGGATAATTAGCCCTTAAATAATTGAGAGCTGACAGTTTATTTTTTTTCTCAGTTGAATGTAATAAACCCATTATAAACAGTCCTTGGTCCCTTTTAAATTCCTCTAAGGAGCATAGTTTAATGTATTTTTGCAAATAATTCTGAAAAATGAATAGTTAATAATTGTTGGGATGAATTACATCTGTGAATAGGGATAAAGAAATACATCTACATTTTCTAAGACAAAGTATATTTTAAAGGAAGCTATTTCCATTTATCCATAACTTGTTTCCATGCTTAGTCTAAAATACAAAAGGGCTCATTAATAGGAATTGCCCTAAATCTCCTTCTTCCTAGTGAGGGCTGCTGTGAAACAAAATCACAAGTGATATAGACCAGTCAGAAAAGATACATCTTAACTAAAATTAATAATTACGTGGAGGGAAAACAGGGAAACTTTTGAATAATTATCTTTATTATTGTACTTCAAAAGGTACATTATAATCCTGAGCTATTGCATTTTACATTAATCATCATTTACCCTTCGAAGTTTACACTTACTGTATTCCAATTTTTCTTTAGTGTCTTCTTGGCCAAATTAGGAACAGAAAACATTTTAAAATATTTTTCTTATTCCTGCAACATCTAACTAATTACTCCAACCCCCATGACTTAAAAATTACTAACTTACAAAGAGCTCAGGACATTCTCTCTCAATTTTGCAAAAGAATTATTTTCAGAATTGTAAAGATGGGCAGTGTGAGAGCTGGTCCCTTAACCCTTGTGAATTCTTAGAAAACTAAGTTGCTTCGTGTTGCTTATTCCACCTTATATAAAGTGGATATTTAATTGACCAGCTATATTAGGATGGAGTGGTAAGACTAACTGTATACTCATCCTTTTAGCTAGCATAAAATCTCAATAACTCCCTTTCCAAATGACCACCATAGAATGGCCCCCAAAGGGAAAGTTTGCCACAATCAAATGACAAGAAGCAAACCAATGTAACCCTACCTTTTTTTCTACAAGATAGCTATGTATTACAAAACATTATATGAAACACTTTCCCCAGACTGGGTAAAGGAACTTCTACAAATTATTAAAATTAAGTTCCATGAATCTAGATCAGGGCTTTTTAGGACAGAGAAATAAAATCAGGAGAAAAAAACAACTTCTGGGATCCTTGAGAAGAGACATTTATCCAACATTTTCTCTCATAGTGGACAAATGATTATTTTATCATTCTATTTCAATACTACCAAAATATTATTTCTTTCTACCTGAAAAACAAACATACAGTGTTTACAAATGTTTTCCTTCTAGTAACAGTGTCACAGTATCTGAAAGTAGATTCAAACATTGTGTTTTGAATAAGGTCACTATGATCTTCTGCAAAAGTTACAGTAAGTTCAGGCAGAATGCTTATTGCTTAGATCTTAAAGCAAGCCACTTTGATACAGCTGTAATTAAAACCTAAGTATGATTATGAGGTTATTTTAGAAACACTGATTAACACTTCTTGCTCTTAAATACTCAGATCATAAAGTAATGCAACAAAAAAAAATTTAAAATAATGAAAAGGAGATGTAAAACCTAAAATGTGAGTGAAAATTTTTAAAGTATCTTATAAGATAGGTAAATAAACATGTAAACATAGCTTTATTATTCAGAGCTTGGAAATCTAGCAGCAAAACAAAATCTTTGCATATAATTCAGTGCAATGGATATTTATTTTTTTTAAAAAGACCCTCCCCCAACTTGGAACTACTGTACTTAGAATGGAATCCATCAAAGAAAATTATTTTAAAATGTCCACTTGTTTTACCTAGAACTGCTAGAGATTCTCACCTGCGGCAATCTATCACTAGAAGCAAGTTTATGCAAAACTGTGTTCTGGATAACTGACTTTTATGGCTCCCCAGTAACAAGCTCGGATAAGGCAAATCAAGCCTAAAAGATAAGCAATTGCCCAAGAAACATAGGTTGCATGAAATCGCCTGGCAAAATCTTGTGTACCAACCTAAAATGAAAAGAAAAGCAAAATATTTCAGGGTTAGAAAATTTGAGGAAATAGCACCTTAAATGAAAAATTGCATATTACTACTTAGAAAACTTTCATATTCTTACTTACCATCTAAAAATTTATCAACAGATAGAAAAAAAAATAACCATCCCCAAACAATATTTACTTGATATAAGGGTAAAATATAGTCACCTAAAGTAGAATTCGTAGGTCTTTATTCATGTATAAAAATATCTGCTAACAACTAGCTATGTAAAATTATTAGACGTAGATAAATTCTAAAAAGCATCCAGTCCATCTGACCAGAGAGGGTACAGGTAGTACAGTGAATGATACCAAATTGAGTGAATTTTCCTTGAGAGACAGAGAAGACAAAAGGACTAATTTACTTCAAGTCTTTCAGCCTACTCTTTACACCTACCAAGCTTTGTTCTTTTCTCAGATAAATCCTTACCACCCTGATATGGGATGCTTCTCACTTAGCATGCATTAGGGGGAAAGAAAATTATTTTTGGCACTCCATACCCATAGTCCTCCTGTCTCAGTACGAATGAGCCATAGGACAGTGGCAAAGTTAGGCCTAGCAAGAAATAGAAGCCAACTGACTTCTGGTAGTTCCACAGTAAAGTTTATGAGCCAATGGGTAGGCCAGAGGACTCAGAGACAGAAGGGACTTCAGAGGTCATCTAGTCCAGCTCCTTGTTTTACAAATGAAAAAACTGAGGTCCAGGAAGTGAAGTGACTTGCTGAGGTCACACAAATAGGGACAAATTTAAACCCAGATTTCCAAGACCAGAACTCTTTTTGCTATACCACACAGCTACCACTATGTTTTACAGCTAAAAATTTATTAATCTCACCATTACTATAACACTTACAGTTAATCCAACTCCAATGAAAATACATATCATTCCAATGGTAATATAGGCACAGCAACGTCTTCGTGGAAGTGCACTACCCACTGAGGAACTGTGTGTGCATAACAACAAAAGATAGTCAACATCAAGGTTAAAATTCTTCTTTTACTCTGTCATTTTTCATATATACCTCTCACCTATATCCATATATCCAATCCTATAAGTAGGCACACTGTGTGTAAGGCACCAAGTAAGCAGCAAAGAAACAAAGGGGCAAAAAAGTCAAGAAACTTAATTGGGAAGATATAACACGTAATTAGGTAAGCATATATTTGGTCATTTGAGGAAGTAATAGAGAGTACTAATCACTAATTGGAGAAATTTATAAAGACTTTGCCCCTAGACCAAAGAAACATGCCACCCACAAAAGAACAGAGCTAAGAAATAGCTGTAAACAGTTTTCTGAGAAACAAATGGAGTTTGGTACTTTCTTTGAATGCTCTCTGGTACTGGATATAGGTTTAGGCACCTGGGCACCAGTGATGCCTGGTGATTAAATACAGAATCTTAGAACTTGAAGAGACCTCTGAGGCCATCTAGTCTAACCTGCACCTGAAAAACACACACACACACACACACACACACACACATACACACACCACCTCTTCTTCAATGTAAAGTACCAGTCATCATACAACCTTTGCTTTAAGACCTCCACCAAAGTTGATAGGGAAGGATTGTGTTGCAACCTCAAACCCAGCTGCACTCTTGGATAACTCTAATTTCTTTTAGTATAGCCTCAGACCTAAATTTGCCCATCTGTAATCTTCCATTGTTCCTATTTCTTTTGTCAAGTGGCAATGCAGAATAAATCTATTCTTTTTAAATTGATATTGGTATTTTTTTACCACTTTCATTTCCAAACATACCTCTCTCCCTCCCCCACCCAAAGGGTTAGCCCTTGTAACAAAGAATAATAGGAAGAAAAAGTTTAGCAAAACTTATCAGTTTATCAACCTAAACTGACAGTATATCCACCAATCAATAAGCATTTATTAAGCACCTACAATACTACAGGCCTGAGGATACGTTAAAAAAAAAAAGGTAACAGTCCCTGCTCTCAAGATTACATTCAAACGGAAGAAGCATGATTCTACATTCATAGCCACCCCCAAAAAGGAAGATTTCATTTTCTCATTTCCTCTTTCAGTCTAATCTCAGTCATTGTGATTATACAGTCTTCGGTTTTGAGGGGACGGGGGTGTTACTTTTGTTGCTCTTTTGATTTACATTGTTGTAGTTGTCACTGTGTATATTATTTTCCTGGTCCTGCTTATTTCATTTAATATTACTTCTTATAAATCTTTTCTGAATTCTTCATATGCATTGTTTCTCATAGTACAGAAATACTCTATTGGATCCATTTAGCAGAATTTGTTTAGCTATTCTCTGATTGATGGATATTTACTTTGTTTTCAGCTCTTTGCTACTATACAAAGACCGATATGATTCTAATCTTTATTCCAAGTAATTGTCTTTCATATAATTGAAGAGAACTATTATGTCCACCCTGAGTCAGTTCTTCTCCAGGCAAAGCATCCCAATTCCTTCAACCAATCTTATGGGATGAACTTGAGCCCTTTTACCATCCTGCTTATGTTTCTCTGGGCATACTTCTCGTCAACAATGTCCTTCTTTTAAAATGAACTTTAGTGACTCCTTAAACAGAAGATATGACAACATTACTCAGAGGACTCAAAGTCATCCTTATGAAGACCAACTCTTATACCATGCTGTCATAAAATGTTGCCCCCAGAGGCTTTTCTGATAAAAAAAAAAAAGGACTGTTCCTTAGTACTAAATAACTCTCAGGCTTTTATATGCCCACACTACCATAGTACCATTATCAGGAAAGTCAGGAAAGGGAGCTAGTTTGTAAAGGATGATGAGTTCGGCTTGAGTTATATTGAATTTTGAGGTACAAAGAGGGAATCCAGCTAGAAATTTCAAGCATGCACTTGTACATGTGAGAATGAAGATCAGGAGATTAACAGAAGACAGAGATTTAGAAATCATCTATAGAAAGATAACAGCTGAGAAGGTAGAAGTAGTTGAGATTTATGAGAAAGATTATATAAGGATTGAACAATGAGTGTTGGTCACATTAATACTCACATTAAAGAAGTGGATGGAAGAAAAGCAGTTTGAATAAGGGGACAGGAATGGAAGACTATGTAACATTACAGAAGTCAAGAAGAGTTTCAAAAAATAAGGGAGATATCAGAGCAGTCAGGAAAACTCAAAGAATACTAAAGGTACATAGTTTTGCTATGACTTAGAAGATTAATTCCTAAGGAGCTGCTTATGTCATGGAGATTAAAGACCTATCCCTGCTGAGTGTGGAATCAGGATGACTTGGGTTCAAATCCCACCTCCACCTCTCTGTGCTTCTGAGCAATTACTTAATCTCTTCCTACGTGTCTCACGTAATGCTGTAGGCCTTACCTACTAACTCACAGACAGTTGTACTTGTGGAGGCCAAGGGAGAGAAGGACTGAGAAAAGGACATTTGGTTTAGTAATTAGGTCACTTCTCACCCTGGAGAAAGAAATTTCAGTACAGTGGAGATGGTGGAACCCAGAATATAGGACTTATACCAAGAATGATTTGTAAGAAAATGAAGGTAGTGAACATACATATGAAAAAAAATTGACAATAAAAGAAAGAAATATAGGTTAATAACTAGAATGGACAAGGTTAAGGTAGGATTTCTCACAAGACAGGATAAGAAAAAAGACAAAATAAAGAGGAAGAGAAATTTCAGAGAAAGGATGTCAAAGAACAGCTATTTTGTTAATGTGATCTTTTTAATATTTTTAATATTTTAGAGAATCAATGCAGTATTGGATTATTATACTCCCCTATTTTACTACATGTCTGGCTAATTTCCTTTTCTCACTTATACTCATACTAGACAACATATTTCACATCTTCTTACTGAGCACAAGTCTCACTGGCAATGAGCCGCATTCTGTGCACATACACTGTGTATTTTCCCATCACCCTTGGGTTTCACCTACAATTGGAATTATGCTGCAGCTTTGGCTAGAATATTGATGGAAGGAAGATGGGCTTTTGCAGCATCTTTGAATGGATGCCACACCTTTCATTGAAATCCCTAAGAACTAGAATACTGGCTTAAAGTTAATAGCTGGAGTTAGAGATGGAATGACACCCCCCAGAAGATAACAGGAGGGACATGCAGACAACTATAGAAACTATACCTTACTGAAAGTTACTACAGACAATGAAATCAGATCAGTATTAAACATGTATGCACCAAATGGTATAGAATCTAAATTTTTCAAGAAGTTCAATGAGTTACAGGTACAAATAGATAAAAAAGCTATCCTAGTGAGGGACCTCAACTTTCCCCTCTCAGAACTAAATAAATCTAACAAGAAAGAAGTTTAAATAGTGTATACAATTCTGCAAAAGCTAGATATGATAGATCTTTGGAGAAAATTGAATGGGAATAGAAAGGAATATTCCTTTTTCTAAGCAGTACATGGCACCTACATAAAAATTGGTGATGTATTAGAATATAAAAACCTCACAACCAAATGCAGAAAAGCAGAAATAGTAAATGCATCCTTTTTCGATCATAATGCAATAAAGATTACATTCAATAATGGACAATGCAAAGAGGGATTAAAATTAATTGGAAATTAAATAATCTAATCATAAAAAACAAGTGGGTCAAAGAAAAAATTGTAGAAACAATCTGTAATTTCATTAAAGAAAATGACAACAATGAGACAACATACAAAATTTATGGAATGCAGCCAAAGCGGTACTTAGGGGGAAATTTATATCTCTAATTGCTTACAACAATAAAATAGGGAAAAAGCAAATCAATGAATAGGGCATGCAACTAAAAAAAACAGAAAAAGAACAAATTTAAAATCCCCAGTTAAACACCAAATTGGAAATCCTGAAAATCAAAGCAAGATTTACAAAATTGAAAGAAAACCATTGAACTAATAAATAAAGCTAGAAGCTGGTTTCATGGGGGAGAAAACAGCAAAAAAAGATAAATAATTGGTTAATTTTATTTTTAAAAAAGGGAAGAAGAAAACCAAATTACCAGTATCGAAAGTGAAAGGGGTGAATTCCCCACCAATTAAGAGGAAATTAGGGCAGCTAGGTGGCACAGTGGATAGATCACCAGCCCTGGAGTCAGGAGGACCTGAATTCAAATCTGGCCTCAGACACATAACACTTACTAGCTGTGTGACCCTGGGCAAGTCCCTTAACCCCATTGCCTAGCCAAAAAAAAAAAAAGGAAATTAAGACAATTTTAGGAACTATTTTGCCCAATTATATGTCAATAAATTTGACAATCTAAATGAAATTGATATCAACAAAAATATAAATTATTCAGATTAACAGAAGAAATAAAATATTTAAATAACCCAATCTTAGAAAATAAATTGAACAAACCATCAATGAACTTCCTAAGAAAAAATCCCTAGAACCAGACAGATTTTCCATTCTACCAGACAATTAAAGAACAATTAACCCCAATACTATACAAACTATTTGGAAAAATGGGCAAAGAAGGAGTCCTACCAAATTCCTTTTATAACACAAATATGGTGCTGATACCCAAACCAGAAAGAGCGAAAACAGAGAAAGCAAATTATAGACCAATATCCTTAATGAATATTGATGGAAAATTTTAAAATAAAATACTAACAAAGAGATCACAGCAGTATATCACAAGGATCATACACTAAGACAAGGTGGGATTTATACCAGGAATGTGAGACTGGTCAGTATTAGGAAAACTATCAGCATAATTGGCCATATCAATAACAAAATCAGTAGAACTCATACGATTATCTTAATAGCTACAGAGAAAGCCTTTGACAAAATAGCACCCATTCCTGTTAGAAACACTAGAGAGTACAGGAATAAATGGAGCTTACCTTAAAATGAAAAGTAATATTTATCTAAAACCATCAGCAAGCATTATCTGCAATGGAGATAAGCTTCCCAGTACAATCAGGGTGAAGCAAAGGTGCCCATTATCACCTCTAATATTTAATA